CATCAGTTACTCTGTTAGTTCAGGGTGGCTGTGGTGTGTAGCATAGTGATTACACTGAAATTCCCAGAGGGCCACTCTGTGGAAAGCAAATTTCCTTCTATTGAAGATGATGAATGTTTTGCCAGTAGAAGCGGTTACTCTTTGCATTTGACATAAGATGCTTTTTAAACACATCCCTCTATGCGTTTCTCAGCTCAGCACTCCACCCCCACAGCAGTTTCAGTTCTTGCACTCGTTTGACCTCGGAGCTAGTAGGTTGTGAACATGTCGCATTGGGACAGGCAATCGATACCAAGCTGGCCAACCCGCTAACAGACAGAGCTATTATTATAGTGGGCCGTGATGTGCTGCAGCCACAAAAAGGAAAACAGATTGTTGGGCTCCTTGTATGTCCGGAGATATCTGCATATCCTGTCCCGGGCTAACTGAAAACATGTGGTCAAGCACTGTCAGCCTGGCTTACAGCTACACCATTTGCTAGCTCCTGAACGCTCAACGTCTTTTCTTTCCTGACCTCATTGCTTGTCCCTTGAATAAGTCAATTCAAATCTATTTGCCAAGATGCCTGTTGTTTAAATGCATTTGTTCTCTTCACAAATACTGACTCATTTTCCTTTTGAGGATGCCATTGGCCTTTGAAGATTTCCTCTCTCCCTTAGTGAGTCCACTTGCCCATTGCATCATGGGGCAGTGAGTTATCGAGGGAAGCCTGCCCTTGCTTGTCCCAAATCCCAGACAATAGATCCTTGCTCACCTCCACTATGCCCATGTGGAATTCACACATAAAGCACGGTGGCTTCTTGCCATTTCTCAGCAAACATTCAAAGGCAGAGTCAGTAGTGAGGTCTTGCTTTGCTAAGCCTTTTACAAAATAGAGGCCTGACTCTGCACCCATTTAAGTGAGCGGGAATTTGGCCCCTGGCATCCAGGAAAGTAGAATCAGAACATTTGGTAGCAGACTGTGACTTCTTATGAAACAGAATTAAAACTACTTTTGTCCAATGACGAAGTGCAGTTTGCGATGGAGCATCTTTGTTTTTAATTACAATTGTCCAGTTAAGGCCCAGATCATGTGTCTGTTAATGTAAACAGCAAAAACACCCACTGACTTCAAAGGTGCAGAATGAGGCTCTCAAAATTCTTGACTTTTCAGTCAATACAATTTGAGGAGACTTTATCGGCGTGACAAGCTGTGCAAGGGGTGCCAAAAAGTCTGCCAGGTCGTAGTGCAAATTACTGAAATTCTGCAGGATCCCATTCCAGAAATGTTGCTGTCTCCCCTGCTCCTACAAACAGACCCAATACATGTACACATATCCTACATGCATACACTTCCACCTACAACCCCCCGCCGCCAAACACACATGTCCTGCCCACCCCCCACACACATACCCCCTCTGCACCTACAAACATACTGTGATGGAGCTGCAAAGCAGGGGAACCTCAAGGCCCATCAGCCCCCTCCCCACTGTATATCCCCTTCCTCCTGGCTAAGAAGGGATTATGATGGCGTGTTTGCTTTTCAATTAGTTATCTTGGGCCTGATTATGATTTCACTGACCCAGGTTCCACCCTGGAGTAAGTCCCCTTGCTTCAGTGGCATTACTTCTGTTTTACCCTCGAATTTGCCTAATGTTGGGTTATTAGCGAGAGCAATGTGCTGGAACACCAGCTAGCGTTTAGAGCAGGTTTTTAAATGCCTTACGTTTCCTAGTGTGTGGCTGATGAAAAAGACATGCCTACTGCGGGTGTGACTCAACCCAGTCATAGTAAAGCAGCCCATAGGATGGTCTGGGGACATGGCTCAGCGTATTTAGGGGGGACTTTGGATGATCAAGTGGATAGTAAGTAGCTTTCTATAGGGATGGATGAAACTCAAAAGAATTGGCAAGTTGGATAAGCAGCCAAAAGGTCAGATCTCATCTCAAGCTCTTTGCCCTGGAAATGGGGCCAGTTAAAGTTAATAGGCTTTCTGGTCATGTGATGCATACAGCAGACCAGTTTGTAATGCCCTGGGCCTCATTCTCCTTTCATGTCACTGCAATTCATGAGGAACGCCACCAAGATCGATGGAGAATCCGGCTCCCCTCTCCCCAGCCGCCTCCCCAGGGATGGTGAAGACAGCAGAAAGGGAGCTTCTGGGCCACACCGAGGCACAACAACGTTGCTTCCCATACAGAGCCCAACAGTCTGTTTTCTGCTCTGAGGGGAAACACCTGCACGTCTCCAGCTAGAGACACTAGTAGCAGGGGTGAGGGCTGGGAAAAGAAGTTACAGGGGCTGCCCTGCTACTCAACCACAAGCAACCTCCCCCTTCCCCCGAGCTGTGTGCAATAGGGGAAGGGCTCACTCTGAAGCTGTGAGATCCCAGGAATCAGGAGGAGCCAAAAAGAAGCTATGCTGAGTTAGAACGTGCTTTGTTCACACATCAACCCCCATTTCTATAGTGGGTGACATGATCCCTGGGTATAGTTTGCACAAGGTACTTGGGAATCCACAGGGCTGAAAGGAGCTGTACACATGCAAGCTATTTATTCAATTACTGTTATTGTAGGAGATTGAGAAATTCCCTTTTGCCAGCTCTTGTGATCTTAGCGCAAGAATTGTGATATTTGACGTTTAACTTAAAGCCCCAGCTCCTAGAGCCAAATGATTAGGGGAGACTCTCAGCATCCATTTTTTTTTAAAGTAACCTTGTAGCCCTCATGGCTGTGAGAAAAGCTTGAAAACATGACCCAAATGCACCCTTAAGGCTCAGAAACCAAAAAGCAAATCCCCCCCCCGACATATTTATTCAGGGTTTTTAAGCCAATAAACTCCTGATTTGGGGGGGGAGGGGGCGTGACTCATGATTTTTGAAGATTTGGAGATGGCCGTACTGCCTCAGTGGTTGTCTCATTCTCCATTCCCTCTGTAAACACACCCAAGCCTTAAAAGCCAAAGAGACGAGCTCAACAGCAGGCGTGAATATAGCAGCGGTTAACGTTTAACTTTATTTTTTTTTTCTGATTGAAAAAGAAAAGAGAGAGAAAAGTTACAAAAGTACTAAAGAAAGGCAACGATATTGACAGGAACTCTCTGTTCTCCAGTTCCACCTCGTGGAATATCGTAAGAGATGGCAGCACACGGCAGCTCCTCGGGCCAATAAAAACACCTCACCTTGCTGGGCGATCAGGGTCTGATTCCAGCAGCACCGACTGAAGCCTTAGAGTTGGGGGCACCCAAACCTTGCCCAACTGAGGGCCACACTTGCAGTTTGAGGCCCATACCTAATATGCAGAAAAGGGAGCCAGGATATGGCTGCCCTCGTCTTTAATATGGAGGGGTGCGGCCTCAGGAGAGGACAGCTCTCACCATGCAATGCTCCAGCTTGATCCGGCAGCAGTTAAAGATCATGTGCATCATCAAAAGAGGGTATAAACTGAAACCCCTCCTCCCCCCGCAGGGAGGAAGATCAACTAGGAGCGACATCTGTTTTGAAATGAGCACGCCCTGCCGGTAGCCACTAAAGCTTTCATTCCCAACAGACGCACCCAGAGAATAAATCAAGCCAATGCCCTTTATTTAATGCTGGTGAAAGGGACTTTATCTGCAGCCCTGAAATCCTCTAGTCACAGCAAGGGCAGCATCAGAACACGAATGCCGCCCCCCCCCCGCCCTCTCCTGCCAATGTGCCCCAACTCGGACCTGCAAGGAAGGAAGGGGAGTTCAGTCTCCGTGATCCAGCTGGCCTCTCTGCTGAGATTCCCAGCAAAGAGGCCAGTTAGTACTGGTTTGCCACGTGAGCTGTCCATGGAGAGTGGGACTGGGAGCCCGCCAGCTCATTTTATATGGGGCACCAAAGAGCGCTCCACACAAGAGCGCGTGGAAATTTTTCAGAAACTCACAATTCCTCTACTGAGCCCCTCGTGCTCCAGAGAAGGAGAGGAAGTTCCTGCAGCCCTGCAAATGATGCAGCTTACGCCCCCTTGCACCTGCCCACGGCTCAGAACACTTGCTCAGAGCGGGGGAGCATCCAGGGAACAGGAGCTTCTGCACCAGACAGGGACACAGGATCTGAGTGCACCGAATACGGGGCCTCCCCAGCTCAGCCAAGTGAAACAAGGGCAGCCCAACGTTAACTGCATCGTTCATGGCACAAACCACCTGGCTGTCCAGCGAGATCTCAAAACTGGTTCAAGTCTCACTAGTGACAAGGCCTTGTGAGATGCCTGTGACATGCCTACCCTCTGGAAATTGCTGTGGTTTGACAACAAGAGCTCCCACCCGCCATACCTGTGTCAAAATCATTTACTCTGCTGGTGTGACCAGACTCAAGTGAGCTCAGCATCCACCACAGCACAGTTTACAAGGTACTGGCCGAACGAGGGCTCAGCAAGCTTCCCAGAGAGCATGTTGGACTTTGCTGAACGTGGCGTGGTGTCCCCAAACTCAACCCTGTCTTGGGCCAGTCACAGGGAGATACCCGATGCCAAACCCCACCACACCTCTAGGGTGCACACAGCCCCAGTGGAAAGGGGCTCCAAGGATGCCCCACCCCACTCAGTTTGTCACTCTAGCCCTGTAGCATGAGGGCTGAAAGCAGAGATCTGACTGTATCCATGGTCAGCTGAGCACAGACCTTCGATTTCCCACTGCAAAGCCCAGCAGAGGACACGGGCAGCAGGGCCGGCTCTAGGATTTTTGCCGCCCAAGGCAAAAACAAGTTTGGCCGCCCCCCCCTTTTTTTAATTACCCCCACCCCCGGCCCCGCCTCAACTCCGCCCCTTCCCTGCCTCCTCCCCCCAGGCTCTCAAGCCTGGGAGGGAGGGGGAGACCCCGAGCGGCCGCGGTGCACGAAACAGCTGATTCGCGCGCCGCTGCTCCCCCTCCCTCCCAGGCTTGAGAACCTGGGAGGGAGGGCGAGTAGCGGCGCGCGAGCGGCAGCAGAGGTGAGCTAGGGCGGCGGGGGCACATTTTTAGGGGCGGCATTCTGGCGCCGGCCATGCCGCCCCTAAAAATATGCCGCCCCAAGCACCAGCTTGTTTTGCTGGTGCCTAGAGCCGGCCCTGATGGGCATTCCCTTAACGCCGGTGCTATCTGCCTGCCCATTTTAACCATCTTTAGATTGGATCAATGCCCCAACAGCAGAATAATCAGGGTAGGCACCTGCAGGCTCTACATTCACACTCCCCACCCCCCAATTCCCAGGGTCCCTCAACTGTAGCAGGGCTTCAAATGAGCATCATTTCAACAACCTTGCAGAAGGGCCCCATTCTCTTTGTAGGGCGCCCTAGGCAACCTCTGTCTCCAGCCCTGAGAACTCTTCAGTTTGGGGGAAGCGGCTGGCCCTCCAGCAAAGCATCTGGGGAGAAATCTACTCAGTTCTGGTGGGCATGCGGTAGCAACCTGCCCGGTCTCCACCGCTGCCCTCTACGCAGTGACTGCCTGCTAGCCCTGGAGGGCTAAATACACCTGGCATGTCCGTGTGGCTGACACCATCTTCATGGCTCCACAGTAGCTTATGAAGCAGACTTGCTCATTTCACTCCCAATGATGTAAAACTAGGCACTGGTGCAAATCCACCTGTTTCTCCACTGCCACGGAGATTGCTATTGCAAAGATGTCCCCGTCCCCCATCCCATCCCATCCCTGCCAGGGGGATGGGTGGTACGACAATTCCTGAGGTTTCGGAGAAACTCCTTCAGTAGGCACATGACGGTTCTTCAACTGGAGCTATTGGGCTCAGGGGCTTCAAGGTGCTGAGGGAACGGAAGGCAAAGGTTGATGGGTCGTACACCAAGTGGGATGGTGGGCGGTTCCCGTTCACACTCTGTATGGGAAAAAGAAAAGGCAAAAGGAATTTGTCAGTGCTCATGCACGCTGCAAGCAGCGAACTGGTTAGTAGATACGTACACGACTGCCCTCTCCTGGATGCAAGCATAGCTGCCCCAATGTGTGTCACAGGCCCTGCACCAACAGCTAATAGCAACAGCACACATGGTAAAGTTATTTCCTCTTTTTTTTCTTCCCCAAATCATGTCACTAGACTGGAGGCACCTGGGTACCTGTGTGATTAGGACCCATGGCCTCCGCCAGTGATGCAGCAGTGAGAAATAGGGGAAAGGATGTACAGGGTGCAACCAGAGTCAGGGGGGCCAGAACAGTCAAGCAACCACAGAGCATCCCAGTTAGGGCCAAGTGAACTTGAATTTAGCTCAAGTGGGTGCTGGGTTAGGATGTGAATTTAAGAATCACTGCTCCCAGGCCTGTAAATTCCAAGCCACTCACTACACGCCAGATTATTATCACAAAATAAGCAGCTTCTGGTATTTCAGTCAATATCTGTTAGAGATGGCCCAGACCCAAAACCCTGGGCTCATATACCCTGGAACGCTGGGGATCTGGATCCAGGCTCTGCACCCTGGGCCCATCTCTATCATCTCCCTCTCAAGTCTGCCATCTCATCTCTCTCTATTCTGTCTTTAGCTTCTCTCTAGTACATCTCCTCTCTCTCTAATCTGTTTGATCTCTCTAATCTCTTTCTATTCTACCCCATTGATCTCCAATGTGTCTCTAAACTTTCCCTTCTCTAATCCACCCCACCTCTTGCTTTCTGTTGTCTGCCTCTCCAATCTATCCCATCGCTTATCAAATCCATCTCTCTCTCTCTCTCTCTCTCTCTCACATACACACACACACACACACACACACACGTTGCTTCTTACCTAGAACCAGGTCACCCTTTCTCTGAGGAGATTTGACTCTAACCGGGATTACAGTTTGCCCGTGAACCTCTTGGATTTGCAGTCTCCCTCCCTCCCGAAGGAGTTACCCTATCTCAGTTCACTATAGGCAGGTTCCTCTGTATGCGTCTGATTTTCAGAAGCTCTGAGCATCAGCAGCTCCCAAGGAAAATCGGCTGGAGCAGCGTATGCTCAGCATGTCTAAAAGTCATGCCCTCTCTGGATTTTACACCTGGCATGGAGACATCCAGCCTGCCATCCCTTCTGGGCCTAGGGTGACCAGAGAGCAAGTGTAAAAAATCAGGACAGGGGGTTGGGGGTAATAGGTGCCTATATAAGAAAAAGCCCCCAAAATCAGGACAGTCCCTATAAAATCAGGACATCTGGTCACCCTATCTGGGTCAGACTGAGCCCCCTGCCTCAGACCAGCGTCACTGTCCAGGCTTCCTCCGAGGGAACAATTCCACCTGGATGAACCAGGTTTAATAAACAGGAAATAAAATAATAACCCACGAGGTTGCAAAGACAGCCCAGGGTGGAAAGCGGGTGGGTGGTGACCAATGGAGCTGATCTTATCTGCAGAGCTAGGAGAGAGAGCCCGTTCCATGCAGCAGACAATGCAGTCCCAAAATAAACCACACTGCCTTCAAAGAATGTCCAGGAGTTGGCTGGAGCTCACTCAGGGCCCTACAGATCGCAGTCAGGGCATCACAGCCTGGTTTGTACCATGGCCCCCACAGACTCCTCCCCCCAGCCCCCAGCATGGCAAGCGCAGACACAAAGTAAAGGCCCTGCAGTGATGCTGTATTGCACCACAGGATGGAAACATTGCTCCCTGGGAGACTCTTTGGAATGCAGGGCTGGGACCTGTGGATCAACCAGCTCCACCGCTGGCCAGGGGTGGGACAAGGGATAGAGGCAGAGATTCACCCACCTTCGGGAGGCACAATCTCACTGTTGTTTTCTATTGGAGCTACATAAGCTATCCAGAAAGACCACGGATGCCACCCAACTCTGCTCCCCGTTCCACACTCCTGCAGCTCCGCTCCCACTTCCACACAGCTCCGGCTCTGCGCCCCAGCTCCCAGCTCCACTCCCCAGCTCTGCTCTCCACTTCCATGCCTTCTTCAGCCTTCAACCGTCCCTCTGCCGCGCCGCTCTCTGCACTGCCCTCCACACTCCTCCTTCCTCCACTCTCCCAGCCAGCTAATCTGGCTGCTCCTCTCCACTCTGATAGAGCGCCCGGTACCAAATGTCCCATTCTCACTGCCCCACTCCCCTTTCAGCCAAGCATCTTCTGCAGTAATAAAAATGCCTAGAAATCCTGCCCTCACACTGCGGGCCCACAAGTCACCCCCACCCCCAGAGGCACACCCACTGAGGACACTTTAATCCCCTCGAATCCAGGCTACAGCACAGCGCAGAGTGGTTTGCACTGTCTCCAGCCTATCTGGCATTCAGCCCTGTCCTTGCAAAGTGCAAAGGTCTTCTGCCCCTGAGGAGGTAACGACAAATCTACCCCTAGAGCATGACACCACCTCCCCCTTGGCCAGGAGTGGGTATCCATTAGCACCACCAGGGGGCAGCAGAGCATTCAGGTGAAAATCCTGTGTAGCCCCACAGAGAGTTTATGTACTGGAATTGGGACACTGTCAATTTATGGTTAGCATTCCCTGGTCCTCTCCCTTCAGTCCCATCCTGCTTCCACTGAAGTCATTGGGAGTTTGGCTATGGGCATCATTGAGAGCAGTGTGTGGCTGGGAGAGAGGGCAGCTGTGGGCTACACCTTAAGCCACCATGGGCTACATTTGTCCCTAAGACTGCCAGTTGGATGCACCAGGCTCCAGCCTCCCCGCAGTCTCTCCTCTGCGTCCCCTAACAAGGACTCACTATTTTCCTGAATGCTAGTGTTACTCGCCCAGCCTGGGTGGACGGCCCTTTTGTCGAGGGAGCAGAGCTTTTAGAGACAATTAGCAGCTCTTTTGTCCCGTGGTACAGAGACATGACCTCTGACACCTCAAGGTCATGTCTAACATGTGGCTGTCACCAGACCCAGGGGCCTCAACCTTTGATCCCCTCTTCCCACTCCCTGATGGATTTTAATTTGTGATCAGCAGGGGGACACAGCCTGTCCCTGCAGGCTTTCCGGCCAGCTGAGGTAGTCAATAGGGTCGTTACACCTTAGAGATGGAAAAAAATCTGTTAGATCATCCAGCCCCTGCAGCATTTACTCCAGTCTAGCGATGAGAGCAGGGATTGGTGTGGGATGCAAAGGGTGCAAGGGGGAGTCAGTGTTTCTAGGTTCTAGTCACAGCTTTGCCACTAATCCGCTGCGTCTCCAAGTAACGGTATTTATTTTAAAAGGAGACCCGCACAAAAGCATGTGTGCGCCCTGCCTTGCACGCACGGCTGCCCCTCATCCCCAAATCGAGGTGGTCCGTCAGCATGGAAGATGCCAAGGTTGTGTCTGGCATCAGCTCGGCCCAAAGCTCCAGCCAACAAATCGTGCCCTGCTACCTCCCGACACCTTGGCCGGCCCAACGAGAAACAAGAGAGGCAGATTTAAGAGCCTCTACTCAATAGACACCTGCTGTGGGGTTATATATGGTGCGTGCTCTGGCAGGGCTTGGAGCTCGAGGGTAACGTAGCAACCCCTATTCAGAGCTAAGGGGGCAGAATAAATCAGCAGATTTGTCCCTTTCCTGAGCAAAGAAGCTGCCTGTCAATACTAAGAGGGGACGGGAACAAAGAGCTGGCAGTGCCCTCCATTTTGAAATGCCAGCTGTGACGAGGGGAGGGGTCTGAATGAGAGGATTTCTGGGGAGTAGCAAAGACCCAGGCAGCAAGAGAAAGGGAGAGAGGGACCCAGAGGACCTAAGAAAAGCCACCCACAAAACTCATCATGTCTTGGGCAGAAAGGAGCTCTTTCGTCCTCCGGAGTTCACATGTGGACGAAGCGGCCTTCACACTGCCCCCGAGGAACCCAACATGAGGCGCATGGAACAGAACGAGAGCAGAGGTGGAGCCGAGAAAGCTGCAAAAGACATGGTGGGAAAGGAGGAGTTCCCAGGAGGCTGGTCTGCTCCGAGTGCTGCTTCTAACGGATCCATTGCTGCCCTGCCTTCAACCCAGCCTGTTTGCTGTATCCAGCTGCTGTTTCCCATCCCACTCAGTTGTAAGGGATTTGGGGTGGGGGCTGTCTGTTTACTATATCTATGTACAGCACCTTCTACAATGGGATCCCATCCCTGATTCTGGCTTCTTGGTCTGGGTAATAATGACATACTAAAAAAATAATAAATAATGTTACGTTTGTGTCACTCCTTTAAGACAAAGGCACTGTAGAGACTATACTGTAAGAATCACTGGAATGCAGCCACCTCTGAGGTAGAAGTTGGTTCACAGTGCACAACAGCCCCACACAACAGCTGAGGACAGGAAGTGAAGATCTGCCAGCAGATCGAGGGACGTGATCATTACCCTTTATTCGACATTGGTGAGGCCTCATCTGGAGTACTGTGTCCAGTTTTGGGCCCCACACTACAAGAAGGATGTGGAAAAATTGGAAAGAGTCCAGCGGAGGGCAACAAAAATGATTAGGGGTCTGGAGCACTTGACTTATGAGGAGAGGCTGAGGGAACTGGGATTGTTTAGTCTCCAGAAGAGAAGAATGAGGGGGAATTTGATAGCAGCCTACAACTACCTGAAGGGGGGTTCCAAAGAGGATGGAACTCGGCTGTTCTCAATGGTGGCAGATGACAGAACAAGGAGCAATGGTCTCAAGTTGCAGTGGGGGAGGTCTAGGTTGGATATTAGGAAACACTATTTCACTGATGAAGCACTGGAATGCGTTACCTAGGGAGGTGGTGGAGTCTCCTTCCTTGGAGGTTTTTAAGGCCCGGCTTGACAAAGCCCTGGCTGTGATGATTTAGTTGGGAATTGGTCCTGCTTTGAGCAGGGGGTTGGACTAGATGACCTCCTGAGGTCCCTTCCAACCCTGATATTCTATGATTCTATGATTGTATCCAATTGAAACCACAGGGCTGACAGAATCATAGAATCGTAGGATTGGAAGGGACCTTGAGAA